CAAGGTATGGTCTCTCTGAAGTTCGCCTCTTGCTTTGTTGCCATGTCTCTCTGTCTATCTATACATATCCAAAGAAAACAAGCTTGGTAAATAAAATTATTTTTCTTCCAGGATACATTTTTTGAATGTAAATAAATGTTCATACCATTAGCTCAACAATGTTCATGTCCTCCTCTGTTGTACATCGTGTCTTTTTCTTTTCAGACATAAGCATCCCTTGGTCTTCCAGGTACACACTCACATGTTTGTTGAGGTATTTACCTCCCATCTGGACAAGCACTTTCTCTTTGACACCCACATGAAAGACACTGGGGGCTGAGATGAAGAATCTGTGCACAAATTGATGAGGTTTAGTTTTTGTTGTATCCTTTAATAGCATCCTTTTGCGTTGCCTGCATTCAATGCATGCTGACAAACAATTGTAGTGCAACATATTTATGCATTTTTAAAAATAATAGTATTTAGGCAATATTTCACAGACAAAAAGTTACATGGAACGGCTATTATGGAATTATTGTTCAGATTAATTGTGAACAACAATTTGCATAATAATATTGCATGAAAATAGATAATTATAATTTCATTTACCTCTCGCCCAATGTGTCCTTCAGTATTGAGATCAAGAGAAGCAGTGAAACCAGAGACCACTTCATTTTGCAGCTCTGTTACTCTTCCTGCTCTGACGGAGGCTTTGGCATAACTGCGGTTTTATAGGTCTCCCACCCCTTTATTTCTCAATCACTGGCTCTCTCACATTGCCCTCAACCTTTTCTTCCCTACTGAGAAAACTTTGAAATGTCTTCTGAAGAAACGTACCACTCAGATAGCTGTCTATTCTTGACTATACTAATAGGCAGCAAATAATTACAGAAAAATATTGTATGAATGAGAAGGTAAAGGGAAAATTGCTTATACCACACTTTGGTTTATGCATTCATACTCATTAGAAAGAGAAAAATCATTCTGTAGCACATGTTGCAAAAGATAGTGGATTCTCTGGCTTTGAAGATGGGTTATATCACTCTTTGGCTCACAGTGGGAAAAGTGTTTACTTAGGTTTCACAATGTGTAACCCTCCTCTCATTGGTCATTGCAAGTGAACCAAATTTCCCCCAAACCATGTGATTTCCAAGAAATCAAGTGCTGTCTATTTGTGCATGAGTTTGTTTAAAGAAACAAAGTGTTGTTTTAACAGGACTTAAGAAGAAGTCTATCTGAAATCTCTAGCTACAGCTAATAACTTTAACAGTTATGTATTTTACTACAACTAATAAAATGTGAATTCTTATCCAAGCAAATCATTCACACTATTGAAGTTTTGTGCTGTTTGCTGTTATTGCAGCCCTATCTCTGCCCTCTTCATATGTTCTTTTACGGTTTACATCTGCTTATCATTGCAGCGCTACTGATGGGTCTGGTGCCTGTCTCCAGCAGTCATTTGGCATAAGGTAGGGAACACCCTGGATTCCTCACCAGTCCATTACAAAGCAACACAAAGATGTACAGGATAATCAACCACATACACACAGACTCTCTTCCTAGGACAATTAAGTACAAGCAATTAATGTGTTAAGAAAGTTGCAGAACTACAGGGGCTACAAACGTCTCATCCCTCATGTGAAGCCACACCCGAATCTGCGACATCAGACGCGTCTTTTCTGGAATAACAAGAAGATAATTGGGACTGACAATCAGCTGCCTAAAGTCCACTTTTCAGATGAAAGTCATGGTTACATTTCATCTGGAAATCAATCCAGAGTCTGTAGGAAGAAAAGAGGCACAGAATCTATGTTATTTGGGTGCCATGTGATCTGCTGGTTTTCTATGTTCTACAGTAAACACATCCATCTACCAGGGAACTTTAAATTAGTCCGTGCTTCTATTCACAAGATTTTTGGAGAGCTGATAACATTTTCCATTTGACCACACCTGACCACACTGCCATACACACCAAAAGCTGGTACATATGTTGACCATGTTGTTAGTAGGCTTGGTAAACACTGAGCCTGAGCCTGACCTCAACCTAACAGAGAACCTATGGGATGTTTTAACAATGAAGATGAGCGACACCAGACCCAACAATGCAGATGACCTGAAGACCTTCAAAGCAACCTGGGTTTACGTTACACCTCAGCAGTAAATGTAAGCTGATGTCAGGCCCAATTAATTATTGAATGCATGGAAATGAACATATTTTTAAGAAGTATGACATTTTAAAGTCTGATGTTAAAATATAATATTTTTATAGCTCTTATGCAACATTCTAGCTTTCTGGGATGCTCTATTTGAGATTTTCATTATCCTCCATAAGCTAAAAGAATCCAAATTACAAAATAAAACACACTTTAATATATTTCACTAAATGTAATGTAGCTCTATATTACATATGTTTCTTTTTTTTAATAAATGAAAAGAAATATTGCACTTTCTTAGATATACCCATATGTAGCCCAACACGTCTCAAGTTGAACCAAATCAACTTGAGACGTGTTCCAGTGAAATAACCAAAAGTGACTTTTTTAAAAAAATTAGTTTTAAAGCATAAAACTTTAGCGCTGATCATATGAAATATGAAACCTCCGGTACAAACTTTGCTGGGACATTTTCCAATAGTGCTCTCTTTCGCTCTACTACAACAGAGTAAGTTTTTCTCTGTTCATGAGCTGCGAGGGAAGAACATAAAAGGCATTACTCTGTTCTGGCAGCCCTTCTGCGAGAATTCATCCAGCTAGTTCTTGCCTTAACTTCAGAACAGATGTTATTTCTTGAGCAGTATCAATCAACTACAAAGGCTGCTGTAGGACCAACCTAAGAGGACAATCCTGGAGTTCTGCACCTGAGTGCTTGTTAAGTAAAAAGAAAAAAAAAATGTTTTTGTTTTTGTTCTTGACACTCCAAGTAAAAGAACAAATTCCCCTATTCTTGCAGATGAACATATTGGCCTCAACTTACATGTCCATGTCTGTGTTGTAAATACATTTTTGTTGAGATTTGATATCTCAGGGCTATAAACTCTACACCTTATGTCTTAATTCTTCAAAGTTACTCACAACATTTTGTGTTTTAGACTAAACACAAAGCAATCATGTGTTCTAAATGTCCTCAAATGGGGACAAACAATAAAAACACAGAGAAGCTTGCTCCAAAGTGTAAAAAAAAAATAAAGTAAATCAAACAAAAATTTCAAGCCATGATTATTCTTGACAGTTTACCTGCTATTTTATTACAATATAAATCCAGAAATTGGCACTACAAACCTTTTCAGCAAGAACTTTTCAGGTTCTGATAATACATAGACATAACCCATCAATTTGAATGTGTGTTGATGTCTGTGTCAGTGTTGTGGATGAGAAGGGAAGTCGCTGGGAGAGGGGAGCATGATGTCCATCCACAACTCCTGGATTTGGAGCAGCAGTACAAGAATTGCGTTTGGACAATCAACACCAGACTCCCTGTCAAACTTAGGATGAACAGGAAGGACATCAGAGTTGTTCCACTTTGCCAGATAGCTGACGAAATTGAGACAGATGTGGAAATGAAATTATTATGAAATATGTGTGCATTTTTAAAGGTTTCTTTTTGGCATTTAAAAAGCACAATTCATAATAGTTTGTTTTGTTTGAAAATAAACAGAGGTAGGATTTTAAAATTTAACAGAATTATTAATTTACAACTTCATAGAGAAAAGTTTTTTTTTTTTTTTTTTTTTAAAAATCCAATACTTACATTTTCTATTAACAATGCAGGGATAATAGTCCAAAGCCAGAAGACATTTAAATACTGAACTCTGTAGTGAATTGGTCTGCTGTCTGTCCTGCGGCCATCCTCAGCGGCTGCTTGTTCAGTTTGCCTTTCAGTGCCTTCTTTTCTATCACTTCCCTACTAGCCATCTCATTTCATGCAGGACTGGGGTTTCCAAAGAGACTGGGGTTCAATGGAGACAATCTGCTGTTCTTCAATTAACATTGAGAGCAACAGAAGGAAAAAGCAGGGAGAGGGACAGACTCGGAGGAAGAGCAAAAAGAAAGATGGGTTATATTGATTTATGGAGATTCTATGATTTTTGGGATATTTTTATTGTACTAATTAATTTAATTATTTATAACTTTCAACTTTTCCTACGACTATTATTGAGCAAACACAGAAGGTAATTTAATATTTCATGAAATTTCTTAGATTCCAAATTTTTCTTTTTTTTTCAAATTTAACAACATTAACCTTCAATTGTAACGCAGGTCTTACATTACATTTTTTATTTGTGATATTATATTGAACCCAGTTGGAATAAATAACATCTAACCATGATCTACAAAAATTCAAAAGGTGTGACCAGTGGCTTTGCATGGTGAAAAGTACACAAAAGGGTGTGGCGTGGGAATGTCCTCAGGGGTCAGGAGTGACGGCGGAAGGGTCAGAGGTCAGAGGCAGCTGGACAGCACACAAGAGGAGGTGCTGGTGAGAAGTGGAGGAGAGGGAGAAGTCCAGGACTGAAAGACTGGACCCAGAGGGACGACGCATGGGAGGCTCACTGACCACTGCATATTTGGAGAGCGGATAATCTGAAGTTTAATGGTGCATAATAATAGAGAAGTGACACCACTTTCTTTGCATATGCAAAATGCATTATAGCAGGTGTGTTATTGTGCCTTTAGCCGTAAGAAGTCACAATATAAACCCATTCAACAAATGTACTTCAATATTGCTGTGTATTACTAAATACTGATACTATTCCATTATGCTATTTTGGCAATACTTTTGGTATAACTTATGAAAAATATTAGAAAATATCAAAAATCCTTGTTATCCCAAAGGAAATGTTGTTGGCTGGTGATTTAAGCTAACCTTTATTTTTATTTTTTTTCACATTTTGTCACAAGTTAACCTTAAACTTTTATATACTGTATTTTGTTGTGATTTTATGTGATGGACCAATATCAAGTAGTGCAACTGTAAAATGGAAAATGAATTTTGGAAAAGAGAGCTAGAGGAAAAAGCACACCACACTTTTCCACATTTTTATTTGCAGACATTTCACTTTTCCTCCATCTAACAAATATTGTTTGAAACGCAATCCAACAAGTCTTTGCTGCAACGTGACAAAATATAAGTGAAAGAAACATAAATACTTTTGCAAGGAACTACATGTGGCCATTTAATCATGATCTACAAATGTAGAGTGGTTGCACAGTACAGAGCACAAAGTGTGGAATGTTGTGCATGGTTTTTTACGCCACACCTTCTGTGATCTCTCTGATTGCTTCCGACACGTGCCAGCATTAAATTACAGACAGGTTCCACTGGTATGTTGAGTCACTTAAAAAAAAAAAAAAAAAAAAAAAAAAAAAAAAAAAAGGAAGTCTGCGATGTTATTAAAGACATAAAAATAAACATGTACTAACACAAATACAACAACTTATTCATTAGCAGTAAAAAAATAATAATATTTTGTAATTGAAACATAAAGGTAGTGAAAAATGTCACTGATTAAAAAAAAGTGCAAAGTACTTAAAAATATTATTTTCTTTGTTATCATAGCTCTGAGTAACTTTCTGTGTACTTATGGTGTATCGGTACGCTCTGTTTTCTCTGTAAGCACTCCTGAGGGCCAGTCCCTTGACTTTGGTTTCAAGCAGACGCTCTTGACAGCCAGGTCAGGAGGTCAATATGCAGATTTTCACCCCTGAACAAGAGGTGTAGCGCCAATCAATTTTCTCACAGTACTCTTGCTACGTATGTCTGTGAATCTGCACACCCATGCAACATTTAGTGTGTTCATATTAATTTAGAGTTAGACATGAACAATAGCAGAGGATGGTGTATTTCACCCATTCATGCACAATCATAATACCTTGTTTGTAATTCAGAAATGCGAAATGTTTGGTGTTTTACATCTTAAAAACCTTGCAAAAATGCAATTCAGAACCAGCTTCATGATAATTTCATCACTGTCTTCACTGAAAGTGTCACTGGCAATCCACTCTCAGTTACCACAGGTCTGGCAGATGAAATTCAGCTCCTGTGTTTCTGGCAGACTGACCCACTGCTGCCTCCCTGTGGACTTAATGGCCGCACTCTCGCCACACTGAGTTGCCCTTTCTGGTCCTTCTCCTGGCTGCCAGTTCTGGTAACAGCCTGCAGTCGAGCTGGTCCAGAACCAAAAATTAAAGTTACAAGTGTAGCGTAAGCCAAGCCACACGTGAGGGGACGTAGAGCTTCTTGCCTTCTCAGCCACTTTGTCTTGAATGGCCTCACTGGTAATCTGAACCAGGTCGACATAGTGCTCCCTGCAGAAGCTCAAAGCTGAAATCCATGTCATATTTTTCTGGATTAATATCAGGCCGTCTTCTGGAAAATATAGAATATGGAATCAGATTTTGGCAAAGTAAAATTAAACGCACATGGGTTTGTGAAACATACCTGAGTAAAAACTGCTGACAGTCGAGATTGGAGCTGGTGATTGGGTTGTTGTTTGGAATGATGTTCCGGTCTGAGCTGTTGGTGTGAAAACACTGTTTGTTGTTACATTCACAGTAGTGTTCTGGGGTGGTTGTTTTGGTGTTACTTCTGTACTGTTCAGCTGAGGGATTGGAGGATGTGAAACAACCTCTGTGGTGTTAAGAGCAGTTGGTCCAGCTTCTGTTAATGGTGCTGGAGTGGTAAGATTTTGCGGTGGTGCTGTTGCTGTTGATGTCATTGTTGGCATTTCTGTATTTGTACTATTAAAATTACTGGTTATGGGATGTGAAACAACCTCAGTACTGTCAGATGTAGTCAATCCAGTGGCAGTTGATGGTGTCGGTGTGCTAACATTTTGGAGTGGTGGTGTTAGTGTCATTGTTGGCATTTCCGTGCTTGTTTTGTTGAGCTCAGTAGGTGTGGGATGTGAAACAACCTCTGTGGTGTTAAATAGATTTGGTCCAGTGCCAGTTGTTGCTGTTGGGGTAGTAACATTTTGAGACGGTTGTGTTGTTGACATTGTGGGCATTTCTGTGCTTGTATTGTTAAACTCAGTGATGGTGGGGTGTGAAACAACCTC